AGGTTTTTTCAGGTTTTATTATATGACCTAACGACAAACTACTCAAATGTCAGGAAGTTATCGATTTTCATTCAAAAGATTTTGTTCAGAAAATAATATAAAACGGATTAGACATTTAATATTGACTTCCTAGGTTATTTAATCCATTATTTTATTTATTTAAGACTACATTATGTTTATTTGAAACAGCATTATGTTATTTAAAAGACCTATAGAATTACAGTTATTGTAAACAAACACTTATAATTATCCTGTTATTTTACGTAGAAAAGACATCAACGCGTAAAAAGTTTAATTTTCCCTAATGTCTGGGCAATTGACTAAAATATTCTGTTAATGTAGAAAGAAGTAATGAACAAAACAATTTTTTATAGAATATAATATATAATATAATATAATATAATAATATAGTATATAAATAAAAATGAATTTCCGTTTGTTAGTCTCGCTAAAACTCGATAACGGCTGAACTGATTTGGCTAATTTTGGTCTTGACAGGTTCGTGGAAGTCTAGGGAAGGTTTAAAATATGAGAAAAAACTTTTAGGCGGTACGAAGTTTGCCGGGTCAGCTAGTATTTAAACTGTAAACACCAAGCGGTCACCGGTGACCGCAACCTATTGTTCTATAATTGTGTCTACAAAACCGGTACTCGACGAGTTAAATAACATTTTAGTTATTTTTTTAATACTAAAAAGTATTTTAAAAAATCTTAGCACTTGCTATATTTCTGTCTACCTGGCCGGATCTTACTTTAACTAATTTGGTCTTGATGACTCATGAACAGACAAACATAATAAATAATGTTTTCGTTGTAGAAATACTGAGGATTGAGGTAAATACTTAAACTGTAAACCATACGAAAATGTATTAATAGAAACTAGCCTAATAAATAAAATGAATTGCCTTCTAAAAGTAAAAGTAAAACGTCTAAACCATTAATATACGTTTCTGAGTCATCATCGATAAAATACAGTTATAAAACATGTCACAATATTTGTGCGTACGTATTTGTATGACAGTGCGACCAGTACGTAAATGTCAAGTGTATGCGGCGCACGCGCTGAAAAGGTCGGACACTCGCGCGCAGGTCTCAGCGTACCGACAAATCGAATTAATTACAAAAGCCAACGCAGACTGGGGATTTTTGGTCAAAGAAAACCACTGAAAACTTTGACTTAAGCATCACGCAGAACGTTTTTTTACAGAGAACTCTTGATTTTATTTATGAATTACTAGCTTCTATCATCGTCATCACCTGCTCTCTCAGGATAACAAGTAGTTCATGTGTTCTTCCAGACTATAGTTAATCTATCTCTGTGCCTTTTATTCAGATTCGTGATCTGTAGTTTTTCCACGAAAGAGTGATCAACGTACAATCTATACATAATATACATGTCGCGGAGAACCTAACGGGTAACCAGGGCTCCGGCTCGACGTGCAGGTGAAGGAACGGGGTGGTATTTAGTCAGTAAGAGTCGGACACTCCCTCCCGCCTCACCCAGGCGGGAACAGTAATTCGATGCTTTTCCCCCTTTAAAAAAATGCATAATATACATACCTATACATTCACACAAACTTTAACGTAATCGTATTAATAGGATTTGACATAAAAATAAGAACTCCGTGGATAGTCCTTCGTCTGCGCAGGTTTTAAATGAACGCAGTCATCATCATAACATCACGCCTTTTATCCCCAAAGGGGTAGGCAGAGGTGCACACAGAAGTAACACCCACTTTTCACTATTTATGTTATGAGTCCCATGTAATAATGAACGCAGTATCGAACATTATTGCATCAGATGACTTGTTTAAGACGTGCTTCGGATATAATTTACGTAATATGCGTAATATCAATTTGGTAAGTGTAAAATTGTAAATTAGGCTTTATATTAATCGGCTGTAAAGGTTGAACTCGTAAGATATTTGCCAAATGTTACAAATATATTGAATGCGTATGATCTTTATTTTTGAAGGACTAATTGGTAAATAAATGTTAGTTACTTATTTGTACTGATTTTGTTGGTACTTTCTCATCGACATATGGAACTGAATATCAGAACTTTCAATTAAAAGAGCGAAAGATGCTCTTGCATTTGCTTTCAGTGACTTATTACTCCAATATTATGTAGATACTTCACACCCCATTACTTGTTTTGTTTTATTTACTAACTGCCCTGGTAAACTACGTACGGCCTAAAATTTTTTTCTCTCTTGTTAAACCGTTCCTGGACTTCCACGAACATTTCAAGACCAAAATTACCCAAATCGGTTCAGTCCTTCTCGAGTTTTAGCGAGACTAACGAACGGAAATTTATTTTTATTTATATAGATTAAAAATTAATTTCACTGTAATGCAAGTCTGTATACAAACATAGGACAAAAGTAAAGACACTTTTGCGAGTAACACCTATAAACACAGTAGACCAAAGTCGCGGGGAACCTAACGGGTAACCGGGGCTCCGGCTCGACGTGCAGGAGAAGGAACGGGGTGGTTTTTAGTCAGTAAGAGTCTGACACTCCCTCCCGCCTCACCCAGGCGAGAGCAGTCATTTGATGATTTTCCCCTCTTAAAAAAAGACCAAACATTGAAATACAATTTATAAACTATACATAATATTTAGAATTACAATTAGCTTTTACCATAGCGTCCATAGGAAATTCCCAAGTTGCACCATACGTAACTGGTTTTCGTGTCATTTATTCCGGAGCATGATCTTGAAACGTACCGCATGTCGCTACGCGCGGTACTTACAAAGACATATATAGACGGTATATTCCGCTTAGGATTTGTGTATATTAAATAATTAAAATGAATGGCAAAAATATCACAACAATTACTATAGTTGTAAGACAATGTCACATCTTAATAGGATGTACTCAATACAATGCTACATTTATCAGGCCTGTAACTATTGTACATATAATTTAAAATAATGCGCTCTCTATTAATTGGTAATTTTAATAAATCATTGACATCACATAGAGGGTATGCACAACTAATTATGAAATTGAAACTTGGTTTTAGTCAAGACTGATCGATCGTAACGAAGCCCGATATGGAGTTGAGCATATTGGAATATGTTTTATATAAGCACGGCTAGTTCCAATGAGTTTTTAATCCTGAGCACTCACAATTCCCAGCTCATCATCCATTGGAACGTTGTGGTTGGCAGGTAGAGACGCGCACGCGCCGAACTCTTGCGCAACAATTGGCAACCTTGTGAAGGACGCGCGTGCGCACGCAGTCGCCAGGAAAATGGACGCCGTCGTCGTCGCGTGCATTTTCATGAGCTGCCTACGCCGGGCCGAGGGTAGTTCAAGGGTGGCCTGATTGAGGCCGCCCTCGACTGCTGCTATACTGAAATATAAGCAGATATTGCATAACAGTGAATTGTAACGAATTTTATGAGCTTTTAATGACGTATAATGTGTAATAATTAAAATTTATAACAGACAAATTATAATTGTTAACGTAAAGCTTTCTTTTCTTTCTCAAAAAAGTTACAACTACTGTTGGCTAACAACTAAAAAAAAACAACTCAACTGCAGGATCTAAGTCTACTAGTCTAGCCTACTAGTCTAGCTAGCAGTAGCTGGCTGTGATGATAGATCAGTATCTATCATCACAGTTGAGGTAGATTAAAATGCTAAAACCTAAAATTTACCTAAAGCGTTACACTGACATTTAGAAATGGATGAAAAAAAAACTCAATTTCAACTTTATCCTATTCAATAAAGCAACGACTACTAAATAGATAAATAAATAACAAAAATGAACAGATAAAACATGTTTAGTTGTCACAATCTGCTTCAGAGTACAAAGGGGAGATTAATATGGTGTGCTAAAAGTTTGTCGCGAGCTAACGACCTGCCATTAGCCGTCAGTCAAAATAGTGCACGACCTCCGTCCTCGCAAATACATTCACCTGTGAAAACTTCTCTCTGTCATGCAAATGAGAGAGACAGACGGTAATGAGGGAATTTACTAAACGTTTAAACAACTGTCAACCTTATTCATACACGTAATAGATATAGTTATAGATTTGTACCTGAAAATTGTTTTAAAAATATTATTTTCATGTATGACTGAAAAGTTATTGTATTTTCAACCATCGTCCAAACAGGAGAAGGTTTGTATTGGGTTGTATCACTTGTAAAGTTGGAAGTCTAGAGAATATCTTGTTATAATGGAAACCACTTGTATGAACAAGTTTGGTTTAATCATAGCAAAGGATGCAATTCGTGTTCATTGTACATGTTATTTCGTAATTGTAACAAGTTTTGTCGGACAAACTTGTTTAACGTCGGCGACTCCACAAATGTGTTCGCCGAATTAAACTAGATCACTCTTGCTCTTTAGATTAAGACATGTGATGCAATAGCATTGATGACTATTTGCAAAGGCTGGTATTATGAGGCTGGTATTGTTATTTATTTTCATAGGGAATTCCATAATATTTACTTCAATGTTTGTTTACATATCGTATATCATGTCTTTCAATGAAATAACGTAATGTTTACTTCATACTTACTCTGTTTTATCTCCTTGTAACACAATATCTGCAGCCGTATCAACACGTATCACATATTAATTGGCACTAAAACAATACAACGAACAATACACTACTTGAGAATGTAAAATATCGACTCTCCTTGAATCACCTCAGATCTCTTTATTGAAACAAAAATATTCAAATAACATTGTGATGCAATCTCTGTCTCCACTTCGGCGATATGATTTCTTTTAGAAACATTGTAACCGTTAAAATTGTAAAAACAAATCCTGAAACTAGCTATTTTGTGAATTGAGCGAAGAATCGGTGTGACCGCGATGTTTCATAGGCCAAGTGTGTTGCACAAGTAGCCGCATTGTTTACGTGGCATTGTCCAGTCGTCCCATCGGCCAGCTCGTACGTGCGTACTTGAATATATTTAAATTTGGAGATGCCACCAGGATGAAGCAAGCGTTCCAACAACTACTATAAATGCTGTTAGTGTCAAACTAAGGGTACAGTTCACAGCTCTAAGCACCCCTGACTACATCTCAACCACAAACACCAGACATGGCATTCAAGGTACGGACCACAGTTGGATATGTGAAGTGCAAAACAGTGATATGTGAAACAGTGATAATTAATCCTAAATAGTGATTCAATAAACTAATTAAATCAGTAAACATATTAAAGTGACAAAAAGAAAATGAGAGTTGTTTCAAATTATTAATTTCTTTTTCAGTTGGTAGTTCTCTCTTGCCTCCTGGCCCTTGCTCACGGTAGCGGGGTGCCCGCAGCCATCGCCGCTGCTCCCGTGGCCTACGCTGCCCCTGTGGCCGCAGCCAGGTTGGAGGAGTTTGACCCTCTCCCGCAGTACAACTTTGGATACAACGTGGCTGACTCCCTCACCGGGGACTACAAGAGCCAGACCGAGCAGCGCAATGGAGACCTGGTTCAGGGCCAATACTCACTGATAGAATCTGACGGCACTCGCCGAGTGGTCGACTACACTGCTGACTCAGTGAACGGTTTCAACGCAGTAGTGCGCAACGAGCCCCTTGTGGTGGCCGCTCCAGCTGAGCCTGCTGTTGTACCCGCTCGTTACACCGCCACTGCTGCAGTGGCCGCACCTGTAGCTGCTCCTGTAGCTGCCCCTGTAGCTGTTGCTCAGGCTGCTCCAGTTGTTGCTGCTGCAAAATTCGCCGCTGCGCCAGCCTACGCCCGATATGTCGCACCTGTTGCCAACGCCGTTGCTGCTCCAGCACCCGCCGTCTACGCTCGCTACACCGCTGCCACCGTCGCTGCTGCTCCCGTAGCTGCTGCTCCTGTAGCTGCTGCCCCTGTAGCTGCTGCTCCCGCATTCGCTGGATTCGCTCGTTACGCAGCCGCTCCCTTCGTAGCGTCCAGCTACGTAGCTGCACCTGTAGCGGCTGCTTACAGAGCCGCGTACTCTGCTCCGGTTGCTGCTGCCTACTCTGTGCCTTATGCTACTCAAGTAGCAGCTGCATATGCTGCTGCAGTGCCTGCTGCGTACACAGCGGCAGTGCCCGGAGCCTACAGTGCTCCCGTGGTGGCTGCATACAAGGCGGCTCCCGTAGTTGCAGCATATAGTGCGCCTGCACCTACGGCTGTAGCCCCCGCCCCCGCCTCCACCGCCCGCGCCGCTCCTGCCAAGATCGTAGAATCATCAGCTGCCGCCGGATACCGTTACCCTTGAATGCCAACTCTGATACAATGATACCTATATACCTCTAAAGACTTGTTTTGTATACATATATACACTACTACTTTTTTATTTTTGTTTTTTTACGAAATGAAATAAATTTATGAGATTTTGAATTGTTGTTTTTTACGAAAACTAAAATTATCTAAATGCAAAGGTTGCATACAACTATGCATAGAACACACACTAAATAAGCGACATGCTCAAATATATAACATGTTTGCCTTTTGTTTCATTGAACATCACTATACATATATTCTGACAGTACTCTGCATGAAAGTGTTGTATTGGTTGATTAGCATACGTAAGAAAAAATTCATTGTTTTCATTTTAATAATTAATTAGCGTCTGTATGCAAATTAACTTAAACTGTCAAACACCAAGCGGTCACCGGTGACCGCAACCTATTGTTCTATAATTGTGTCTACAAAACCGGTACTCGACGAGTTAAAACGTATTGAACGTATTGAACAATAACAAAACACCATGACAATACAATGAACATTTTTCGTCACATTTGTTAACCCTCATTGTAATTTAAGTACCTTTTCCATTTCATTTATGTTATCAATTCAAGGTCACGGTCAATAAACGATATATCAAACTTCTGCTGCTCTGGTGATGATTAGATACTTTAGAATGCAGATGATACTCGTTTTATAGTTTTAGACCAAGTTTACCACGGGTAGATTGAAGTGGACTTACTAACAACAATGATGAAGTTCACTGCTCATTCTATACTAAAAGCTCGGACACCATCCATTCGATGCATTAACCGTACAAACTATTTTAAGAAGAGAGTCAAATTGTATTTCCACCAGTCGGCGTGTAGGTGAAAATTCGGCGTAATAAAATCGCATTGTATTTGTAAAACCTGATTTTGTAATAATTCACGTCAATCAGCAACTAGTAGGTACTTAGTCTCAAAGTAGTCAATGATAAATTTATGTTAGTAACATATTAAAGAAAATAAGTATTAGTTCAATAAATAATAGATAATTATTTTAGTTTTAATTCACACGCAAGTATGATTTTTTTTACATTTTTTTTCTCTTTATGAGGCAGGGAAAAATTTGAAAAATAAATTGGCGACATTGATAAAATATGGCGATAAATAATTAGGTCAAAAATATACATTGAATAATATAATTTTCAATCACTTAATGATGGATTTAAGATCAGTTTAATACTTTTTAACCGTCATTTATAATGGAGCATGTCATTTTAGTAGTGTACTTTTTTGTTTACATATTTATTTTGTAGCGTATATGCACGTTTTTTTATAATAATAATAAATTGTATTGTCAAATAATAGTTATAAAGATCTTATATGCTACGCTAGCCTTTAATATCACTACACAAAGTACTTGATGTTGTTGCCTAATTATTATAATCTTATTATCATATACTAACCCTACTGTATTAGCCCACCGGCACGATGAGCGAGCCGACCTGCTCCAGCAGAAGGCACTCGTTCACGGGTATGACGTGTAGACCAGCAATCGGTCCGATCAACCATTTGAGCGATGAGTACGTACATTGTGACGCCTAGGTGCCACGATTGGTACTACTTGACGGGAAAGTGCATTGCAGTGACAATTTACTGCAAATATTGTTACGCTTTTCGTAAACTAACACTCCATCTAGACATTATATAATGAAAGACAAGAAGTATTTTTTCCTAAAAATCATCTTTATTCTGATTAAAAAAGACCTACTAATAAATAGAGTAAGTATCGCCGAATAATTTGATGAACAAAACTTCACTGAGGTATGCTAAAAGATGTGTGTAAAGGAAGTGACTTTTTGATATTTTTGAAAATGTGGTATATTTTTAAAACGATAATGGGGATAACATTTGCCGGCGACAGTGATGCGGACGCGTACTTTGACGGTTAATTAAGGATATTTTAGGTCTTTTTTTATTCGTAGAAGTAATACTGTAAAATATTAACTTTGAATAAACAGGATACGGAAATAATCTACCTAAAAGTACAATTTCACTGAATAATTATGTTGCGTTGTAACCAACACACTTACTTATTGGTAAGTATTGATCCCAGCTGTCAGCCCTCACAATATGGTGCACTATTTACTAAACATCCTGTATAAAATACTGTATTGATCAGTACTGTAAAAGTTGCTTTCATCTTTTTACTTACGGAAATACAAAGGAAAGTTTAAACGAAGGGACGTATTTGTTGAAATCATAGCTGAAAAAAATTTCTATTAAAATACTACTTACATTCAATCAAACTTGGTTTATTAATTTGGGTGATTGATACGATACCCTTCGATCAACAATATTGTTGATCGAAGACGATACCACATAATTATTTGACAGACATGCAAATGTGTTATAATTAAACAGGGACACCTAGACGCCACTCATTCTGTTTTTGCTGCGTTTAAAACTCATTTTGACTACACGGTTGGTGCGGTGGCTGGGCAACCGGCTGCCGTGCAACGTATCGCGGGTTCGATTACAAGTGCGTTACCGGCCTTTTGGGGATTAGGAGTTTGAGGATCGTTAGGGATTCAGGAATTGGAGAGATTGGAGAAGGGGAGGGTAATTGGGCCTCCGGTAACCTCACTCACACGACGAAACACAACGGTATAAAAAAGACAACAAAGGTGTGACAGTGGAAGTCATAAAAATATTAAGTTTAAAAATTAAAACAGAAGAATTAGAAGAGAGACGCTGACAACATGCCGATGCTAAAAGGGTCACCCACTCAGTGTAAGCCAGGCATACAAGTCACCCAGCACTGATTTTCAGTGGGCACCCATGCAGTGACGCACGGATGTAAGTATGTATATAATAAGAAGTATAGTTAGTATTTATTATATTCCTATGTTACTTGTAGTATGTCAGTAATGTACAAACGATTTGTACCTCGTGATCTTATCTTTAATTCAACACTATCAGTTGCCACACGGCTTAGGTCGGTGCCAAGGAATTTTTGCTGTGTTTTAAACAAAAAAAAAATGGCACGCAATTGAACATTCTTAACACATTTTTGACTGCACGGTTGGTACGGTGACTGGACAACTGGCTGCCGCGCAACGTGTCGCGGGTTCGATTCCTGCACGGAGCAACTCTTTGTGTGAACTTATATGTTTGTAAACGCACCCACGACACAGGGTATAACCCTGGTATAGGCTTTAATAAAAAAATCTACAGTAATAAAAACGAGAATGTAATTTGGAAAGAGGATTTAGTCTGTTGGAGCGGTGGCTGGGTAACCGGCTGCCGAGCAACGTGTAGTGAGTTCGATTCCCGCACGGAGCAACTTTTTTGTGATCCACAAATGTTGTTTCGGTTTTGGGTGACATGTGTTTGTGAACTTGTATGTTTGTAAACGCACCCACGACACAGAAGAAGATCCTAGTGCGGAGCAAAGTTTATAAAGAAAAATATATAATGATGATTATGACATCATTTTAAGTACAAAGGTATCTTAGTTTTTCAAAATTACACTATCTTTACCAAGTGTTATTTTATAATACAATCTGTACTATTACTCAGAATGTTGTAATTAATACTCCCAATATAACTTTGCTCTACCTTCAAGGGATCACAACTGAAATTTAGATAGTCGCTGCCCAAACGCGGACAACTATATCGATAAATTAGTCATACTTTTGAAACGAAAACTCAATATGGCCCTTACCCTAGTCGGCTAACCGTGGATGTTTGCTAATGAACAAATAGAATAAATATATCAAACTTTCAATTAAAATATTATACAGTTTGACAAATTAATTGGGTCCTCTCAAACAATGACAACTTATTTTTTTTTGTAATAAACACGAAACGGTGGTTGTTTAATGTTTATGTTAAGGTTGTATCGTTGAGTCGTTTTTTAATACTGGGACTTCTCATTAGAGATATTATTTATTTTGCTTTTTAAATGATCATGGGCACACATAGCATGTCGTTTTTTAAATAGCAGAGTACGTGGTATTGTTCGACCGTCGTTGTCACCACGACTCGCAATGCTAGAGTCCGCGGCCGCTGCGTACGTGCGTACTTGAATATATTTAAATTTGGAGATGCCACCAGGATGAGGCAAGCGCATAGTCCACTACTATAAATGCCGTTGGTTTGGTACTAAGGGTACAGTTCACCGCTCTAAGCATCCCTGAACACACCACAACAACAAACCTCAGAAATGGCATTCAAGGTACGGACTACAGTTGGATATGTGAAGTGCTATACGAAGTGATATGTGAAACAGTGAAAATATAACTGAAAAGTGATTGTGAAAATATTAAAACAATTCAAGTTATTTCGAAGACACATTGTGTTAAACTTAACTCTAAGTTTTAGGACTCTCGATTGACATTTTTTTATTTTTCTTTTCAGTTGGTAGTACTCTCTTGCTTCCTGGCCCTCGCTCACGGTAGTGGGGTGCCCGCAGCTATCGCTGCTGCTCCCGTGGCCTATGCTGCCCCCGTGGCCGCAGCTAGGCTGGAGGAGTTCGACCCCCTCCCGCAGTACAACTTTGGATACAACGTGGCTGACTCTCTCACCGGTGACTACAAGAGCCAGAGCGAGCAGCGCAATGGGGACCTGGTCCAGGGTCAATACTCTCTGGTGGACTCTGACGGCACTCGCCGAGTGGTCGACTACACTGCTGACTCAGTGAACGGTTTCAATGCGGTGGTGCGCAAGGAGCCCCTTGTCGCGGCTGCGCCTGCCGTCGTTGCTGAACCCGCTGTTGTCGCTGAGCCCGCTGTTGTGGCTGCTCGCTACGCCGCTGCACCTGTAGCCGCTCCCGTAGCTGTTGCTCGCTATGCCACCGCTCCCGTCGCTGCCCCAGTCGTAGCTGCCCGCTACGCTGCTGCCCCAGTAGCCGCTCCCGTCGTAGCTGCCCGCTACGCTGCCGCCCCCGTAGCCGCTCCCGTTGTAGCTGCCCGCTATGCTGCTGCTCCTGTAGCTGCCCCAGTCGTAGCAGCTCGCTACGCTGCCGCCCCTGTAGCTGCTCCCATCGTAGCCGCTCGCTACGCGGCCGCTGCCCCAGTCGCCGCTCCCGTGGTAGCTGCCCGCTACGCCGCCGCCCCTGTAGCTGCTGCCTACAGAGCTGCCTATCCCGCTCCAGTGTCTGCCGCTTACGCGGCCTACTCAGCTCCAGTAGCGGCTGCGTACACAGCTGCGTGGTAGATCATGACCAAACCCTCATAAACCGACGATAGCAAACCTCTAAAGACTTGAATTGTACATACTACTAGTTTTAGACAGTTTTGTTTATTATTTTTTACAAAATGAAATACATTTTTGAAATTTAAAACATGACTATTTCCTATTAATTTTAAGCAATCACACCTCATTGTTGCAAAAAACGTCGTCACTCGATGTGATTGTGTGATGAATATGACGGCAACAACTATCAATTCGGCATTTCAGTAAAACATTTTCAGGGCAATAAAAGTGTCCTAGCCATGACATGCCATCAATCCTTTCATTTACATTAGTTGTATGGAGTCTCTGTCAAAAATCGATCTTATTCCTGAGATTTTGGAATGAGACAGGTTATTGAAATCTGCAGATAGTGATCAGAGTGGATGTTTTAGTTTGCGATTGATGTCTTAGGGTAGACTTATTAATCATCAGTTAATAACTGTAGAATAAAATTTACATTTGACAATTTTTAATATAGAAGTATTGTCAAATATTCAAAGTTATTCCACAGTCAAAATTTATCTGGCGTTGGAAAAATCGGCTCTTGGAATAAAACAATTGAAAAAAAAACAGTGCTATTTACTATTGTATAGCAATAATTTACCTAAAATAAGCCAAAAGTTTAGAAAATTAATTCGATATAAAAATCAACATCATTACCTTAACTGAAATAGGTTTCTTTTGTTTTCCTTGACCTGTCCAACTATTTTTGCATCGATAGAGAACATAAACAGATTCGATGACTATGAACAACATATTTATGTTGTACAACGCTTGCGTGACAACGCAGACGTGAAACAACGCTTGCATTGTGTTTCGTCATGTGTGAGTAAGGTTACCGGAGGCCTAATTACCCCCTCTCCCCAGTCTCCCCAATCCCCGAATCACCCATAATCCGCAAATCCGCAATTCCTTAAAGGCCGGTCACGCATTTGCAATGGTCCTGGTGTTTCGGGTGTCCATGGGCGACGCCGATTGCTTACCATCAGGTGATCCGTCAGATCGTATACCGGCTTAACCCATAAAAAAATTATGATATTGAAGAGACCTTGAAAGTAAAGCATTTTTTTTAGAAGTTAGTTAGTTAACTACTTAACTTAGGTTAACTTAGGTAGTCTGAACACATACATATTATACACATGGCTGTTAATTCAAAAACAAATACTTGTTAGAACCCGCAACACGTAACAGAGAAACAGAGTCCTGCACTGTTTTAATCATGCTGTCAAATTAATTTAGGCTTGCGTTAGACAATTGCAACAATTTCGTCAATTATCCATTAATCACGTCAACGTATTAGTCTTGCTTGATGACTAACAGTGTGATAATTAATATGAATAGTAATTAAATTCTGTCCACGACGGCCAATGAAAAATTGGTGTGCGTACTACCTTGACCTAACTGTCAAATGAAAAATCTATTTGGAATTTCCCATGCTTATTACACTCTATTTTACACTCGACAATTATAATTAGTTTATCTATAATGAGAAGGAATGATTTTATAAGTGAAAAGATGGGGATGGGTAAAAAGAAGAGACGACCAAATATGAATAAATATTATGTACGGTGGTCGTGGTAGGATAACGATTGTTAAGGGGAGAATAGAAAGGACATTATGGTGGTTATACTAAACCACGTGGGATAAGAACAGGGAGATGATGAATCAAACACTCGTAACAAATTTTAACATACAGAATTACCTATGTTTCAGATTTTAGGCATTAAATAATTTTAAATTTTTTCTTCTTGGGCTAACGCCATATTGGTAATATTCCCATCGTATTTGTGTAATTTGGAAATTGGTTATGATACGTCATATTCGTCAAAATTACTTGCATTACTAGAGTTTCTAACCGAGAATTTTCAGTATTGTAATTACATCTAGTGAACACACAAGCAGTTTCTAAGCTACTGAACACGAGCAGCTAGTAAATAAAGCAATAATTTACAATTCTAAAGTTCGTGTAGAAGCAAAAGTGCCTATGGTGAAATGGTGACCAGAAATTTCATTATGTATGTATATGTATACATTTCTCTTATAATCAATATATATAAAAGAAAGTCGTGTTAGTTACACTATTTATAACTCAAGAACGCCTCAATCGATTTAGATGAAAATTGGCAGGGAGGTAGCTTAGAACCAGAAGACGGATATAGGATACTTTTTATAGAATACTTTTTTTGCTTTTTACCGAAAATCACGAACGGGAACAGGGGGAAAATAAGATTACGCGTACGAAGTCGCGGCCAGAAGCTAGTTGTTAATAAAGAACACATATTGTATACGAATGATATGAAATGCGTGTACTGAATCTTGCCTGCAGCTTAACTTACTATTACTAATGCTATAGTCAATCAATAGAACATCATATCTCTAAGACATTCATTCCTGAAACATTGTCAATAATGGCCGTCAATGATTACAACCTAATCCTGCATTGTAGATGACCAAATTTGTTTTATGGCTTAAGACTGGAAAAGTGGAAACTAACAGACGATTATCTTTTTTTTTGAATCCGGTATCTTCAAAAGGCGTCTAGTTTTTTCTATGGGATTCCTATATAGGAATCCCACACCCATTCCCACCGTGTGGGACACTTACCTCACACCTCACTAAAACTACCTGATTTAGTGAGATACCCGTGCCCATCACCATCACAAATAGAGGGCACCGAGTCCTCTATAATATACCTGCTCCCTAATAGACTTGGCAAGCAACGGGCTTCGCCAATGGACACTCGCAATACGTTGGCCAGTTAGAACTGACATTATTGCATTTTTCTGAAACTCACCTTTGTATTTACAAACAGAGGTGAAATTAAACCACAAAACCACAGACAACAGACACATATACCTGAATAATGAACAGACCCGGAAGCCTGTATGAATCAATGAAAGCCTACGACTGATACAGTTTCGTGAAACGTAACATGTATCGCAAGAGTCATCGGTGTCGCGTAATTCGTAGCACTTTCTTCAATAAGCTGTGTTGTATGTCCATCACGTACTTAGTTACGAAGTGCTCGATATATAACGCGAGGACGAGCATCAGGAACCACATTCCACTTCGAGGACTGTGACCATCCTATCCCACACATAAAGACATGGACTCCAAGGTACGATGGTGTTAATTTTCTATTTATTTAATTTTTTTTTTATTTTTGGCGATTTTGATAAGTTATAATATTTTATGTTGTTTTGATACATTTTCTTAATTATTTAGTTTTGATACAGTTTTCTAATGGTTTAGTTTGGTTTTGTAGTGGGGTTGAAAAATAAAATAGTGGTTTTGAAAAATGATAATAAAACCATTTATGATGCAGTTTGATATTTTTGTAATATATTCGAAGATCTAATAAGATCTAAGATAAAACTAATTTTTATAAATGATCGTGTCAATCTTGGTCATCACGATATCATCTAACTCGAGCGTCGCACGCGCAGCTCGGTCGTGCAGACTCGTGCGCGCGCGCATATTGACCAACTCGATCCATATCGGGACACTTTGCGACACTGCCTTCTTTCTGGCGCTTTCGATTCGATTCGCCCCTACACATAACAATGAACAGTGTACTTTAATATTTCATTTCCTATATTTTTTAATGAAAACCTTAATGAAGGTTTAATTCATGGTCAAGTACGAATATAAAAATCATCATAAAACGCAACAAGTTTCATTTTATTTATCTGATATTTTATTTTTATTTATTGATAACTAATGAATAGCCAATGCATTACAATTATTACGACCTTTACTTGCACTGAAATTTCGATAGATCATTGTATGTAAATGCAAAGCTTTCGTGTATAGCATTATATTGTGGTAGCTAACAATGATATAATTCTAACAATAGTGGTCCCTAGGGATCATTTAAAAAAGAGTACTTTATTTGGCCTTTGTGTTTCGAAATGTTTAAAACCATTTAAAATAAATGTATAAAAAGAAAAATAACTCAATCGATTTATTATTTTCATACAAAAGACTTCAACGCGTGCGTTTTATTGATAACTACATTATAACAAGTTCCAGTAGTTTTGTCATAAAATAATTGTTTTTATTGAATATTTTGTAAGGACGGGACTTCGATAAATCAAACAAGATGTTAATCGCTACACGTTCTGTTTATTAATCCTCCCTCCTCTCCAGAGATACAGTTTATATTCTTATGCACTAATGATTAACTACTACGTCACAATTTTATTAATGGCTCATGTAATATCTCAATTTTTTAAAACAAGGACCATTGATGTAAAATACGTAACAAAAAATATGTTAAAACAAAAAAAACCAGTGTCCCAAAAATACTTCAACTCAAATTAAACAAACACAAACTTCTACAACAATAAGAACTCAATTAGGATTCAGTCAAAATGCAGCCGCAGACGACGCATACATCTATTGTCATTCTTGTCGCGTGTAGTTACGAAGAAAGGGTTTAAAGCATGTCGCAAGGCTCGTGGACACCGCACTTGTAAACAACGCGACACTATATTGTTGCTCAATCTAATTATTATTATATAACGGATATATTGCGATATTAATACATCATATTTATTCTACTAACGTCGTCTAGGAGAAATTGTAGTGTTCATATTGGTTAGACAGACATAGTGCCTAATTTACTACATAGTATCTGTTGTAGATCATGCGAGAGTCTATGTTTGTTTCTAAATAATATTAACCAAAAAAGCAGAATAACTTGAGGCTTATATTATATTGTTTCGACTAGCGTTTATGCCATTATTCTAGTGGGAATCGTTAGAAAATGAATTATTATTCCTATTCTAACAAGAATTATGTTTTGTTTCAGATTGTAGTATTCATCTGCTTGGTAGGCGTGGCGAGCGCGAGTCTCCTTGCTCCCGCTGTCCCCGTGGTCCGCGCGGATCCCTTACCTCAGTACTCCTACGGGTACGACGTACAGGACGCACTCACTGGTGACTACAAGGGTCACCAGGAACACAGGAATGGAGACCTCGTCAGTGGATCGTACAGCGTCGTAGACCCTGATGGCACAAGAAGGATTGTAGACTATACTGCTGATCCTCTTAACGGCTTTAACGCGGTTGTGCGCCGCGAGCCCCTAGTCGTCGCAGCCCCTGCCAGGGTTGTCGCTCCAGCCCCTGTCGTCGCGCCGGCTCCCATCCTCGCCCGGGCACCCGCCCCTGTACTGGCCGCTGCGCCCGCGCCACTGTTCGCCTCCAGGCTACCTCACCCCTACTACTTCTAGATGAATTATTACAATTTTGTTGTTGATATCTTTACTATTAGGACCTTTTTATACTATTGTTATTTATGTACATAAACGCTTTTTGATACATTTACTTGTTGTTGTTTCATTGTACATATTTCAAAATAAAATTACATGTCGTAAGGGACATATACATACTAGGCATAGAAGTATTGCATCTTGCAATATTCACTTTCTGTAGTGATGTTACTGCTAGCCACGGCTTAAAATGTTCTTTCCAATCTTATGACCACAGCAATGTACGAATACACCATATACAATTTCATTGTTTATGTGTTCTTGTGTTAAAATGTACTATGGCTAGTGGCTACACATATTTACATGATATCAATTAGGACGTAATAACTTAGGTTTCTTTGACCATACATATGTTCGTGTGTTCTGATAAAGTTACTTTTTATACAATACGAGTACAATGATATAAGCATACAGTTCGACAAACGCATTATAATGTGAATGTAGTTTTACAGAATGTTGATTACCTGGAAGTTATGTTATGTTATTGCCAACTTTTATGCACACGAGATGGTGCTGAACGCTCTGCACCGGGCGGCGCAGGACGCAAGCGCTTGCATTCCGCTGAAGATCGTGACCTTGCCTTGGTTATCCACCTCAATTAAAAGCGAAAGTTTCAATAAACTGTCATACATACGAGGTTCGATTACCGGACCAGGTTCGTGACGTCACATAAATCTGAGCCACGAGTGCACGCGCGTTGAATATAAAATGAGAGCGTGCATTGAAGGCGGCAGTTCTAGCCCTCTGTTGAACATTACCACTACCTAAAATGGCATTCAAGGTACCAACCAAAAAGCTACTTTTTATTTAACAACAATTTAATTCATTGTTTAAAGTATTTTGTGTTTAATTATATTTTGTGTTTTAAACAGTTTGTCGTCCTGTCTTGTCTGGTGGCTGTGGCGAGTGCTGGCCTTTTACCAGCAGCTCAAGTGTCCTACTCGGCTCCCCTTGCCTACTCCAGCCACGCCGTGCAAGCCGCTCCTGCGTACTACGCCGCCGCTCCCGTGGCAAAAATTGCTGCTCCCGTGGCATATGCTGCCCCCGTCGCCAAGGTCGAGGCCTACGACACCAACCCCCAATACAGCTTCTCTTACGACGTACAGGACGGACACACCGGCGACTCTAAAAGCCAGCACGAAACTCGTGATGGTGATGTTGTGCATGGCTCCTACTCCGTGGTAGACCCTGACGGTACCAAGCGTACTGTTGAGTACACTGCTGACCCCCACAACGGTTTCAACGCTGTTGTACACAAGGAAGCCCTCGCACACGTCACTAAGGTCGTTGCTCCCGTCGCCAAAGTAGTTGCCCCCGTTGCCAAAGTGGTCGCCCCCGTAGCTTACCACTCTGCCCCGGTAGCGTACGCTGCTCCTATCGCCAAATACGCTGCCCCTATTGCGTACCAGTCCGCCCCTGTAGTGCACGCTGCTCCAGTGGCTTACTCATCGGCACCCTACTACCACCACTAAGTTATTATTAAAATGATAAGCTTGAATGCCATACTTAATGTAAATAAATATTTATTGTACAGATAAAATTTGTTTGATTTTCTTGAAATTGAAATATTATTATGTCTCTATCTACATCTAACCTTCGCATATTAAAATGCATAATAGGATAATCAGATTTAATTTGTCAGTAGTGATTTGTGTACAGGCATGATATTATCAGAAATGGTTCAACAAAACTTGCAAATATTAATTAAATAGTAATTTATATGTCAAATAATTGGTAACCGGCCACATCTGACTTGGGAGCTGCGCGTAGTTCTTGTTCAGGGCCGGGGACTACGGTTAGACCACGTTGACGACGCCTCTTACGCTCAGAGCGAGTATCGGCAGCAACATCCGACCGCCGTGGCAATACGGAGAAGCGTCGGCCGACAGGTACGGTCGACATGCGCTTAAACAGCACCTGTGTCTCTACACGCGTCTCTGGATCCATCACTGCCATGATCTGTCGTTCACGCGTCGTTATAGCCTTGCGGTCATCTCCTGTAACCGTTTCCATGGCCATTTCTGCGCATTTTGCCAGGAAGGCTTGCACTCTCTCTGAATCTTGCAGCTTCTTCGACCACTCTAAAGCCTCTTCGACTTCTATACGTACTTCATTTGCATTGCCTTGTTGCATGTCACCGCTCATTAAAATGAAGCAACCGTTTAGCCACCAAGTTATATTTCCCAAATCTTGAGCCTCTCTCTGGCATCGTTTAGCATAAAATTTTGCGAGAGCGAAATTCTTTTGCATGGAAAGTAACCTCGCCAGTTCATACATTAACCAACATTTCATAGTTGAATTTTCACACATATCCAAAGTCAACATAACCTTTTCGGTGGCTTGTTTAATATCAATAAACTTGTAAGGATAATTCGCCATAACAGAATCGAAAGAAGTTGGACGGCCAACAGGTAGGCCCATGAGGAATGCAATGCGGCGGCGATTTCCACGCTCGCTGAGTGTGTAAGACAGACGATGTTGTGACAGATATCCTTCTCCTACTGCTCTGTATAAACGATCAGTATAAATTTCTTTGTCCGGTAATGTTCTCGGAGTCTTTACATCAAGGAACATTTGCATTCGCTTCGCTTGTGACATAAGATCCATGACGCGATGTTCACGCATGCTCTTTTCAATCTGTTTTAATAAGCGCTCTGCAGTCTTAGCTCCAGTTTCGCGTTCTTGGATAAGGACAGCCTCCTTGTACTTGGTCTGGTGTTTAGATTCCGCTTTTTCAGCTAATTTTATTGTGTAGTATGGTCTCTGTGCTCGCAGCATCTCTTGTCTTTCACTGAGAGATCGTAAAGCCTCTTTTACAAGTTCTCTTAGTTCCTGACTTCCACCTGCATTTGCGGATATCAGGCGAGGATCGTCATATAACTCTTGAAGGAAAAATTTATCGTATGCCATTGGTCCGAGGTATTTCATAGCGAGTACTCGAGCTAAAGTGCTATGCTTACGTGCTTCCATTTGAGTGAGCTTACGTTTACGTTCCATTTTAGGTATACGGTTCACATGTAAAACTTTTTGAGGCTCATTTTCATCCGGACGTGCTGCTTCTAGTTGTTTAATGAGTGGCAGAAAGTCTAACATAACATTACCGGCGTTTATTCCGATACAATCTTGAATAGTTTCAACTCCCTGATTGATGCCTTCCATGAAGTAAGGTGGTTGGCGTCGAAGGCGAAGTCCTCGGAAGTTCATAACGACAGACCGTTCGAAGTCAGACATGGTATACATGGCACGAGCCTGCATATTGCGTGCGTTCATGTTGCCGGGCGATAGTTTGAGCGCCAGCTCTGCGTCAGCGTATGCTTGTACAGGCCGCACGGCGTCAGCGCACACCTGACTGCGGCCCGTCAGTGTGCGCACATCCTCGGAGTTACTTTTGAATGCTTCATCATAGGAAGCTTTCGCCTTCTCAAACTGTTCGAGTCGACGTAAGTAAGCTCCTCTTTCACGATATACCGTGAGAGCGCCATACAGTTGCTTTTCCTCCATTGTAAGTATAGCGATATAAAACAAACCTCTACAAATTAAAAATATTTAATATTAAAAGTATTTATAAAAATATACGTGATTTATAAAATGTGTCTTTTGACAACGTCAAATGATACGACTATCAAGTCTGTCAAGTCTTCTGTCTAAGAGTTCCAAAAAGTAATAAGTAGAGAGGAACTAAGTTCCTTTTTTTCTAAAAACTATGATGATTTTATATGATAAACATTTTTTATAAGAGTTTAAAAGTTTGGTAAGTTTCAAATGAATCATTGCATCGACATCTTAACGTTTGTTACATCTATAGGGTGAGACGTCGATGGAATTTAGATTTAGAGCATTATGAACAGTTGATATCACTATTGCTCTTAGAAAAAATGCTCTAATAGTAAATAAGCGTTGCCAATTAGAAGAGCGATCATCTGTGATACGCACATAAAGACGCAATTTATTTATTTTATTATATTTTTTTCTACGTCAATACACCATGCATGGAACTGATAAAACCATTTGATTTTATTTATGCCATGATGTACTTATGTACATATATGTACAGTTTTTACTTACTCATGTACATACATAGACGTAGACTTTAAGTTTTACAATTGTGATACAAATTATATCTATTTCTTTGCAGTTATTAACATAGGAAAATCGTCACATACCATTCATCAACAGCCTATAAATGCCCACTGCTGAGCAAAGCCTCTTCTCACACGGAGAAGGTTAGAGCGTTAATCACCAAGCTTGCTCAATGCGGGTTGGCGATTTCAAACTTATAATTAGAAATTATAAGTCCAGGTTTCCTCACGATGTTTTTCCTTCACCGTTTGTCAGTCGTGTCTAAATAATCTTAGAAAGTACATATGACTCGGAAAAAGTCACATTGGTACTTGCCGTTGGTAGGTTTCGAACCCGCACCCTCATGCATGAGAAGTGGGCGTCTTAAACCTCCGGGCCACCACGACAGGTACATACCATAAAATGGATTTATTTCGCGTCTGCCTATTTGTATGAAGGCGATACATAATCCCAAAAAAGACTTACCTACGTATTATTTTCACCAGTAGGTAGTGTGATTTGTGCTTTTCATCGTGTGAGCGAAATCGCGGATGGATAACTATTTGAATAATATTGCATTTGATGTCGTAAGTAAACATTTTATTGGCCATTGTTATCAGTCACCCGTTAGCTTATGTTTACGTTCCATTTTAGGTATACGGTTCACATGTAAAACGTTTTGAGGCTCATTTTCATCCGGACGTGCAGCTTCTAGTTGTTTAATGAGTGGCAGAAAGTCTAACATAACATTACCGGCGTTTATTCCGATACAATCTTGAATAGTTTCAACTCCCTGATTGATGCCTTCCATGAAGTAAGGTGGTTGGCGTCGAAGACGAAGTCCTCGGAAGTTCATAACGACAGACCGTTCGAAGTCAGACATGGTATACATGGCACGAGCCTGCATATTGCGTGCGTTCATGTTGCCGGGCGATAGTTTGAGCGCCAGCTCTGCGTCAGCGTATGCTTGTACAGGCCGCACGGCGTCAGCACACACCTGACTGCGGCCCGTCAGTGTGCGCACATCCTCGGAGTTACTCTTGAATGCTTCATCATAGGAAGCTTTCGCCTTCTCAAACTGTTCGAGTCGACGTAAGTAAGCTCCTCTTTCACGATATACCGTGAGAGCGCCATACAGTTGTTTTTCCTCCATTGTAAGTATAGCGATATAAAACAAACCTCTACAAATTAAAAATATTTCAAATTTAAAGTATTTATAAAAATATACGTGATTTATAAAATGTGTCTTTTGACAACGTCAAATGATATCAAGATATGTTACAAGTTACTCTACTCTATGATCAAGACCAAGTCTGTCTAATTTTATGCCTAAGTTATAAAGAGTAAAGGGATTTTTTTTAAATATTTGATGGGCCGACGTTTGACCACTATCTCGCCTGGTGGTAAGCGATGATGCGGTCCACGATGGAGCACGTCACCTCATAAGCAACCTATTCACTCGGGCCTTGAACACTCTTCAGGAAATACAGACTCTGACAAAGAATTCCACTCCTCAGCAGTACGCACAAGGAAGCTTGATGCAAAGCGCTTCGTGCGTGTGGGTGGGACATATAACATGAATACCTTGTCTTTAGAGAAAGATGTCGATGGAATTAAAAATATTATGACACCTAGTGTGTTTAATGGTGATCTATTGCTACTAGAAAAAAAAGCGCTGATCTGCGATATGCTTACTATACGCATATTATTTAATTTTTATAATAACAGATAAAACCACTAGATTTATATATGTCATTTTTACTTACTCACCTACATAAACGTAGACTGTAAGTTTTACAATTGTTATCCAAACTGTATTGTTTTACAGTTATTGACATAGGACAACCTTACATATTTAAAAAAAGTACTTTCGCGCCTACCTATCTGTACGAAGGTATTAAGACGATACATAAACCTAAAAAGATTTGCGTATTGTGTTCACCAGTAGACAGTGTGATTTGTGTTTCATCATGCGGGCAAAATCACAGGATAACTTTATGAATGATATTGCATTTAATGTCGTAAAAAATTTATTAGCCATAGTTATCAGTCGTCAGGAACCGGAAAGTAGATGTCTAGACTGCTACAACGGGTGCAGCAGCAGGCAAAGCGAACGGTGCGGCGGCATACCGGGCGAATGGTGCGGTGTACGCGGCAGCTACTGGCGCGCTGTACGCCAGACGGGCTGCCGGGGCGGTGTACGCTGCAGTGTAAGCGACGGGAGCGGTGTAGCGTGCAGCGACCACGGGAGCAGCAGCTACTGGAGCAGCTGCGAGACGAGCTGGCGCAGCCACAACGGGAGCTGCAGCTACCAAAGGTTCTTTGCGCACCACCGCGTTGAAACCGTTCACTGAGTCAGCTGTGTAATCAACTACTCGGCGAGTGCCATCAGAGTCCACCAGAGAGTATTGACCCTGCACCAGGTCTCCATTGCGCTGCTCGCTCTGACTCTTGTAGTCTCCGGTGAGAGAGTCAGCCACGTTGTATCCGAAATTGTACTGTGGTAGGGGGTCGAACTCCTCAAGCCTGGCAGCGACAGGGGCAGCAGCAACGATGGGCTCCGCGACAAGGGGAGCAGCCACAGCTGGAACCACACTGGCGCGGGCCACAGCCACCACGCATGCGAGGATGACGAACTGCAACGAATTGATTAGTCAAACTCCATCAACGGTCAACACTGATGGCACTGGTCTCATTCAAAGTGCGACACATATGTTGTACTTGAAACAGTGACACAGTTTTGCGAGGGCGAGACTAGTGCGATTGCGTAAGTGTATGCGCGGAGAAATTACTAACAAGCCGAGGATACCTCGCTCGTCAAGGACACATAAGTGTCGTCTCCCGCATTTTAATGAGTTTAAGCAGCAGAGCAAAGGCACTAAGTTGGCACTTGTTACTTTTTACTAGTGTAATGATGGAACTATGTGGACTCCTACGACCTATGAACTATGTGTACTGAATTAATAATAAAACGTTATAAGGTAGTTACAATAGTTTTTAATATTAATGACATAAACGTCGATGATAGAGCCTACATGTCTTTATAATTCTTAATTTTGAATTTCCTTTTTTACCTAATTAAAAAATCCTTATTAAAATGAATAAAGTTTAGATAACACTGTTATAATTGGCATTAACTTAAATTTAAACTTTAAGAATGTCAGTGAAAGAGAGAAAAAGTAAGGAAGTATGATGAGATTTACCTTAAAGGCCATTTTTGTTGATGAGGAGGAGTTGTGGAGCGAAGTCTTGTTCGACTATGCTCCTGTTCTCTCCGGTGAGGTATATATAGCAGCAGCAAGTTGTGACATCCCGCCTCAAGTTCGCGCTTTGTATTATGCGTGCGCATCACTATGGATGTGCACGCAATTGGAAATGAGCTACAATTTGTCAATGGCGGAAAATTCGAACATGTTCTTGAATTTTGGCCAACTGTTATGAAATTTGAAAATATTTTATGATATTATGGAACAAAACTTGTTATAATGTTGTCAGAAATAGGAAAATTACCTAGCTTTTAAGGAAACTTTACTAATCATACAACACATGCACTTCAGTACACCCAAGACATACAAAAAACATGTTATTGAATGTTAATAAATATATTTTTAATGGAATAGGAAGGAGGCAAACGTGCTGGCATGGACAACCGCAATACCAAATCCAATTCCACATTAAGAAGTAACCTAAGGTTCCCCATATGATTAATTACATATAGACTAGGTATAGGATCACTTATTTCCTTGAAATGGTTCACCTACATCCTACAAAAGATCTCAACTGTAGAAAGGACGAGAAGGAAACTATAAATAAATTTCGAAAGCTAAAGCAGTAGAGGAACTACTATCTAATATTGTTTACAGGTCCAGTAGTAGAACCTTAATTAACTCGTCGAGTACCGTCATTATAGACACAATTATAGAACAATAGGTTGCGGTCACCGGTGACCGCTTGGTGTTCGACAGTTTAAGGATCTGAATAGAATATAACAATTTCATCAATTGGAAAATTGATGTATGTTCACCAATTCAAGAAGCAAATTATAAGTATTTATTAGTAAAAGTTCAAAAATGTAAGCTAACAAAGTTTAGCTGAAGTTGTCTGCTAAAGTGTTTCCCTTAAAACTGTTGTAGTAAATGGAAGTGTGAGTAGAAAAATAACTTTTATTGAAGAGTGACGTCATAAATGACTTTGACAGCATTACAAGAAAATAAGAACTTACCTATGTACCTATTATTTTGGTCTTTGAAATATTTAAAAAACCAGTGCCTAACCAATCTTTATTCGCCAATTTATTATAATGTAGTCGAGAACAAACCATGAACGTTGACGAAATTAATCTGAAAAACTATTAAAGGTATTTTTTTATCTTTAATGCAGCCATTATCTTTAATACACTCAACGGTCCATGCAAATAAAAGAGGGAATTATGTTCAATAAATAATTTTGATATTTATTATCAGTTCGTGATTTTCATCACACTCAAGATTATAAACGCTTAGTGGTGGTAGACGGGAGCGGAGTAGGCGACGGGGGCAGCGTGGTACGCGACGGGGGCGGAGTGGTAGACGGGAGCAGCAGCGTGCACGACAGGGGCGGCGTGGTAGGCCACGGGAGCGGCGTGGTAGGCCACAGGGGCGGCGACTTTAGCGACCACGGGGGCGGCGTGGTAGGCGACTGGGGCAGCTACCTTGGCGACAACGGGGGCGACTACTTTAGCGACGTGTCCGAGAGCTTCTTTGCGAACGACAGCATTGAATCCATTGTGGGGGTCAGCAGTGTAGTCCACGGTACGCTTGGTGCCGTCAGGGTCTACCACGGAGTAAGAGCCCTGTACGACATCTCCGTCGCGGCTCTCGTGCTGGCTCTTGGAGTCACCGGTGAGACCGTCCTGCACGTCGTACGCGAAGCTGTATTGGGGGTGCGCGTCGTATTCCTCGACGGCGACCTTGGCGACGGGGGCGATCACTTTAGCGATAGGGGCGGCGTATGCAACGGGGGCAGCGTGCACTACATGTGCTGCTGGGGCAGCCGCGTAAGCGACATGACCAGCTGGGAGCAGGCCAGCGCTGGCCGCTGCCACCAAGCACGCAAATACTACAAACTGAGAACAAAAAATAAAAATAAGTTAATTTTTTGCTACTACGATCAGTGAAATTATTAATAATTAGAAGTGATTTTCACCATTTCTTTAAATGAAAAAAAATAGCCTTAAATTCATAATAGAACCTAAGATCCAAAACTTTTAAGTTCAAAATTTAGTTATTAACTGTGCGTCTTCCGAACTTTTAATAACAAGATAAGCTACAACTTCTTTAAATTATTCTTTCCAATTACCTTGAATGCCATTGTAGAAGTGTATCAAATGAGTTCTATTGAACGTATGATATGTTTTAGAATGATACACGGCTGTTATATATGGATAAGATATTGCCTGAGGCGAAAGCTGTGGCACCGCGCTCCGGCGCCCACCCTACCGGTCGATGACTCGATCCAATCAATTAATACAATGTACCTTGTTTCGTTACAAGGACTACCACGCAAATTCTATTCACTAATTTGTATATGCCTTTGACATTTATTCAAGGTGTTAAAATCGAAACAATGCAATGGCAGTTAAAATACGGTTGTAATCTGTTTTGAAAATACCGTGACTCATTTGTCACAGGCGGAGTGTTTAACTCTTTAATGAATTTAAGGTATTCACCGAAATAACAGAAAAATCCTCGGTATTGAAGAAATGCATAACAACGACAACGAGTATGGCACTTGTTCCTATTTAATTTGCATAATAAATGTTATGCTAAATGTACATTTTAGAGATGGATTATGTAAAGCTTCGGAAAGATTCCTATAGTCGACATAATATACCAAAGCAAGATTGGACTGAAATCCACAACGAAAAACGTTGTCATAAAATCAATTTGTCAATCTGGAAATTATCTGGAGAGGTCATGTCTAGCAGTAGACGTCTTGTGTCTGACATGAGGATGACGTTGGTGAAACATAATAAATAACTATTCCATTCTATTTCATGAATTAGTACATTACTTAGAAGTTACTCTTATTATTCGCATGCCTATTATTACCAAATAATGCTTAGTGCTGTTAATGGGCAATTCCATATGCCCATGAAAATAAATTAACCAAACCAAGCTCAGAGAATAAAACAACGAAATGTGCATCATAGATTATGATGATAAACAACTAAACAAGGTAGCATAAAAATCAACTTGGAGTACAAACTATAAAAATATTAATAATTCATCACTAAAACATCTGTAGGAGCAGCTGTAAACATCTTATTTATGAATGGTTCATCATCACAAGTTCACGGTCAAGATTTAAAAATGGCCGCGCGTGAGCCAGTGACTGACTGTTATGTAATGCGTAGCGCATCTCCGACCACGAACCGGTAGAGCTTTATATTACTGTTGGATACGTTTATTTTATAGCATGTCATATAATGAGTCATACGAATATCAATATTGCTAGTATGCTTGTATTTGTATGTTACTAAGGGAAATAAAAGTAAATTATTAATATTTCCTTGCTATAATTAATTTATTTAAAAAATGTATTATAGCAAGGAAATTAAACCACAAGGTATGCAGATCAAAGTCACCAAAACAGTCATTAATGTTCCATACACCTTACTTTCGTCTAGGTAGCCTTGTAGTGCTCGTGTACAAGTTTAATATTACTTACCCAGCTTTCGCCGCGGGGCTATTTCACCCGTATATAATAACGCGTATGAATCTAAACTTATATCATTCGTTCAGTAGAACTCAATTGGTATACATCTCCTACAATGGCATTCAAGGTATAATACAATTTAAAGCTCTAGAAGTTTCTTATAAACTTCTATATTAATATTAATTTCCCACATTTATTAAAAGTTAAATCAACTCATAAAAAAGCCTTTTCAATACTTCAGCTCTTACCTAAACAATTACTAATAATCCGTGTTATTTCAGTTCGTAGTATTCGCCTGTTTGGTGGCTGCCGCCAGCGCCGGAGTGTACCCGGCTGCCCCTGTGGCGTATTCCGCCGCCCCTGCCTACGTCGCCCACCAAGCGTACGCTGCCCCCGTGGCATACGCCGCCCCTGTCGCTAAGGTGGTCGCCCCCGTCGCCAAGGTCGCCGTCGAGGAATACGACGCGCACCCCCAATACAGCTTCGCGTATGACGTGCAGGACGGTCTCACCGGTGACTCCAAGAGCCAGCACGAGAGCCGCGACGGAGATGTCGTACAAGGCTCTTACTCCGTGGTAGACCCTGACGGTACCAAGCGTACCGTGGACTACACTGCTGACCCCCACAATGGATTCAACGCTGTCGTTCGCAAAGAAGCTCTCGGACACGTCGCAAAAGTAGTCGCCCCCGTTGTCGCCAAGGTAGCTGCCCCAGTCGCCTACCACGCCGCCCCCGTGGTCGCTAAAGTCGCCGCCCCTGTGGCCTACCACGCCGCTCCCGTGGCCTACCACGCCGCCCCTGTCGTGCACGCTGCTGCTCCCGTCTACCACTCTGCCCCTGTCGCGTACCACGCTGCCCCCGTTGCCTACTCCGCCTACCACCACTAAGTGGTAACGAAAGTTTATTATTAGTGCAATTACCGATATGATGAACTAAAATAAATCTAAATTATTGAAAAATTTGTATCTTTATGGTTTTCCTTAAATGACCGACTTCTTTCAATTCACCTCAGCCGAAAAATAAAAGGTGTTTTCTGGTTGTAATTTAGGTTAATTCTATTCAAAGAAATTATAATGATTGATCAATTTTATAACAATTGATCAATTTTATAACAATAGAATTGGCCGGCGCACACGTAAAACGTGGACTAAAGATATGAATATTTTCATCATGCGCCATTATTTCATCCTTACAGAACTCGAAACAAACATAAAGAATTACCTGACGCCATTACACTCACGCTTTAATTTAGAATTTCCAGAAATGAATGCATCAAAACAAAGGATAGGAGACCAACGCCGTGCTATTGTCCAGCGTAACTTTCTTACAGAACGGGAAATCCTAAATATCAAGGATGAAGTTAGACTGCTATTACAAAACCAATCTTCAATGTCACAATATAATATTACAAACATTGATCAAACTTCATCTCGTAGAATGAGATGGAGTGACGACCTTAATGAAACTATTATGAGAAGTTATTACCGCTTAACCAATTTAGAAACAGATTTAACCACTTACAGACCACTATTACACCAAGATATTATTTCAAAATGCCCATCTATTGCACATTTATCAGCACAACGCATATCAGACCAACGCAGATCTATTGTAAATAATAAACTTTTATCTAATGCACGACTTAATGAGATTAGAGAAGAGGTTAGAAATGAGTTAGCCTCTATAAGTACAGACAACTCTGATTACATAATATCACACCAGACAACAAATGAAATAGTCACACAACTAAACCCGGTACATACTACTAACGACGACCACACTGGAAGAACGACACCAACAAGCGCTAGCGACCTAAACACTCCACAAACAGCACAAAATACTTCACAAGCAGAACAAAACACTCTACATCTCCCAGCTGAAGTATGCAAACAGTTAGAGCAGATGTACACTGAGCACTGTAACAAATTTAAAGAATCCAATCCAACGACTAGACCATATATTCCCAAATTAAAATCATCTAGAAAACTAGCAGCAATCATAAGTCACCTAAATAACCATATACTTCCAAACATATTAAACTCAGCTACAGATTTCCTTACACTACAGACATCAATTTATTGCGCAGCATACACTGCAGCAAAATTTAATGGTGCTAGAATCAAAGAAACAAACGAACACATTAGTCAACCAGTAAAAGTCCCTTGGTGGCAAAAACGGCTAGAACGGAGGATTAGTGATCTCAGAGCCAATATAGGAAGGCTCACAGAGTATACAAGAGGTGCTCGTTCGCCAGCTCTTGAGACACATATACATAACATAAAACAGGTATACAAAATACACTCTCAACACGAACCAGAAAATACAGACATAACACACTTCCTAGATACCCTGAAACAAAAACTTAATACTTTAACAAACCGACTAAGGAGATATAGGGAAACGACGATTAGAAAAATACAAAATAAACAGTTCTGCAACAATGAAAAACTATTTTACAGAAAATTGACACAACAAAATAACAACAACTCACAAGGAAGTAACACACCATTACCGACTCCCGAATCGTTACATTCATTTTGGTCAAATATTTGGTCTAACCCAGTCACACACCATCAAAAC